AATAAATGACCGGCTCCATGACCTGAATGCAGTTCTCCATGAAAGTGTCATACTATGTAGAATACTTATGCTACAAATACTAAGGCAGGGTGGAAACTAAAAGAAAGTAGTTATTTTTAAGTGCTTCAGAATTCATGATGGTTCTAAAACTGCCACTTGTAATTTATTCCCACTCTAAGCACTTCATGCATTTTTCTTAAAATATGGAAAATTTACAGAAGAAACCTTTCCGTTAAAACTGCTATATATTTTAGTAAAGGAAAATATTAGACCTATTAGTTTTCTTTTACAGGTTGGCAATTCCTTATCAGTAATTTTGAGATTAAAAAAAATCTGAAAAACTAGTTTTGTCTAAAGTTTGTGACAGAAAAATGACCTGGACTACATAAGACATAGTTTATTCCAGTTACATGTCTGGTTCATAACTGCATAAAGCTTGATTTTGTGGTGTTACTGCAGACACCCTGTACAGTTTTATGTAACCTACAACATACATCTCATCTTCCTAAAGGAAAAAATTCTGAATCCTGAAATTTCCAAGGATTCCAACATTTACAGTACCCTCACACCAAAAATAGAATCGAGACCTTGTGCTATGTACTATTGCCATCTGCTGACATGTATTTAGAACTACAAATATGTAACCAAAAGGGTAATGTTTCACCTTACATAGAGCTAAGACTTATGACTTAGCAAATAGTTGAGTGTATTTCCAAAAGCAATTGCTATGGAAAACAAGTATTTAGTGAAGCTATCAAAAACAAAAATTGTAATGCTATAAACCTAGCTACTTGGGAGGCTGAGGTTAGGAGGATTATGATTCTAGGCCAGCCCGGGCAAATATCTTGCAAGACACCATCTCCAAAATAACCACTGCAAAAAATGGGCTGGAGGTGTGGCTCAGATGGTAAGAGTGAAAGCATGAAGCCCTGAGCTCAAACACCAGTCCCACAAAAACCAAAAACTAAACAACCAGCAAAAACCCCCTCTACCCTTGGGCTTTGTGTGTTCTGCCCATTTTACATAACCTAGAAGTTGAACTACTCATCTTGACTTCCTAGAGCTGAATTCCTTTCAGGCTTTGCTGATGCACATAGGTGCTCTAGCAACCCACTTTTTCTTTTTTAAAAACTACTCTTGGTTTGGGCTTAAAGCCAGAGGTAAGTACTGATGCCATCACAGCAGTACCATTAAAATAATCAGAACCTGCTCTCTGCTGATCAATTCTAGCAGACTAAAAAGCAATGGCAGTTACAGGAATCTTATTGCACGTACTCATAGGCAATAGTGACTCTCTACAAAACCTACTCTACACCATCATCTATACCCTAAGACCTGTTTGGAGTACTTCTGGGTGTCCACACTGTCTTTGTTAATTATCACACACGTACACACACACTATCCATTCCCTAGGAATTAAATGTATGGTATCTTGTCCACTCCCCGCCCAACCCCTTTAGAAAACTAATTTCTTAATCTTTTTTTTTTTTTTTTGCTTCCTTCCTAAATACCATGGAGAGCAGCAGTTCTTTGGTACTGAGGAAATACATAGCAAATATTAATCTGTGTCTTAATGTACATTTTGTGTGCTGAGTTTAATTCTGAGGAGTTACCTGAGTTGGACTTTAAAAAGAAAGTGTCTGACATGTTCTCAATTAAGGCTGTTTTAGAAAAGATCTCTTCCCTTCTCCAAGAAAATGTGCTTCTAAATAAATCAGAAGGATTCAAACATAAATCTGTAAAGTTTACTATCAACTGTGTTCAATTTGAAACTCCAGGATCAAAAATGAAGGCAATGTTGCCATTTTACAGATAAAGCAATTGAAGCCTAGACAGAATAAAGAACTTTAAAGTCTTAAAAGAGCTGTAATTGGTCTCGTCCATACACTACAATAGAAAGTATACTTGGTTAAGATCTCCATCTCCCATCAGTGATACAATGGTGTGTGGCCCTCTCTCTTCAATTCTATAATATAGGTTAAGTATTGCTTGGTACCACAAGCATTTCGGATTCCACAACACTTGCATAAACTTCACTGGTTGAGCATCCCGAAACTCCACAGCGTCACGTTGGCATTCTGAATGTTTTGGATTTTAGAGCATTTCAGATTTCAGATTTTCAAATTAGGAATGCTCAACTTGTACTTTACTTACAAGTTAAAAATTGTAGCTTCTACTTTGTTCTTTTTCAAAAAGCCTAAACTCACGAACTTGTTAACTCAGTAATTAGGATATCACCTGCCTTGATTTCAGGGACAACTTTCTCTTTTCTAATTCATTTACAAGGTGGTGGGATCAGAGCAAACCTCCTATCATCCAGTTCCCAGGTAAAACAAAATAAAAGTACAAATTCAGATACCACTAGAATAGAAACACTATTCCCAGCCCCCAACTGATACAGCTAACCTGTTCTGGGTATCAGTTTCTAAGTCGGTAAGGTTCTGTTAGTAGAATGGTATACCCAGAAACTCAACGCAGAAGTTTTTGAATCCTGGAAAACAGTCTTAAAATTGATCTAATCCTAAGAACACAGAAGAACAGAATAATTGAATTTAGGAATCTTTCCCAAATATGCATTAGGGGCTTCTTAAGGGGGAAAACCCAAAAGTATTATAGTTTGGTTAAAGAAATTTATTCTTTTAAAATACTTTCATGTACACTTTTATAACTATTCTGTTTGAAGGGAATAAGGAAGTTATCCTACAGTTGATGTTAGCTTAGACAAAAGTGACATATGTATAAAAATACATTTAGGAAATAATTGGCAAAATAAAAATGTAAATATTTATAGTGATTTAAGACTGCAAGATATTTAGAAACTCAGATTAAATGTACCCACACTAGAGTAGTTCAAACCCAAACTTGCATTTCTGATTTCTCCGTTACTGTAATAATACATATATTTGTGCATAACACTATGCATAAATGAGTTAAGTCCTTTTGCAAATCATAATTGCCCAGGACAAAAGGAAATTCCATCAGAGAAACAGTGATAAATTGGAATGCAAAGCATAATATGCACCTTCCTTCTATTTCAATGTTTAACACACTGGTAATAGTTAAACGAAAAACATGAATTACTATTTAAGCAAAAATTTATTATTTTCTTGGAAAAGCTCAGCTTCTTGCCTAGAAAAATCCTTTAATATGTTACCTAAGACAGTAAAAGTTCTTTTAAAAAAAAACACATTAAGATTCAATTTGCATGGAAAATCCATCTCCCTAATATAGCTAATCAATGAATGATTTTAAAAGGCAAAAATCATCTTCAGAACAGAAAAATATAGCATCTTCCATAGATATCAAGACAATAAAGTTATATTTACAGGATGCTATCTACAGTCAGAAATTACCAAGAAGCAAAAATAAACCGCTATCACTTCATTGTCCTTTTCCTCGGTAGTCTGCTAGGACCACACAAAGGAAATCCAGGAGTCAATGAAGTGTGTTCTGTCCAAGAACAGACAATTCTCATAAAATAGTTTCTTTTTCTTTTCCCCCTGAGAGTCAAGTCAATCTATCATCGGATTGCAATCAAGACAAAGACAAGAGCTCTAAACCCATGTGAAGATCAAAATAATGTAGGCAGTTCCTTCTTTAAAAAAGCTAAATACACAAGAGAAGACAACACAAATAGCAGGACATGGTACTTAGGTGCATAATAGTAGTAGGACCATGGCAGAAATTTATGAATTTGGTAACATATACAAGAAGTGACATTTGGGAAAATATTTATTGCTCTTTTATGGAAGATAGCACCACTTTGAAGAATAAAAGATGGCTAGGCTGAACCACCTTTTAATCAATAGTATGCATTTATAGGAAAAGTGCTGAAAGAAGTTGCTCTGGAAAAAAGTTTAAGGAAGTCTCTGTATTATATATTTTAAGTGTTAAACAACTTCTTCATGAAATAGACAATTGGCAATCTATTTTAGGAATTAACTTATATCAGATTTACTATCATCAGTCTGATTATCACTCAAGAAATATAAAATCAAGGGACTGAAAAGTTATTTGCACTTATAAAACAAGTTAGAACACTATAAAGTAAATTTTTAGGCCAAACATTTCAGATAATTATTGCTTAAATATACAATGATTATACCTGTGAATTTTTCCAAATCATAACTGACAAACCTCCTTTAGTGTGTTCACATTTATATAAGGGAGAGACACATATTTAGGGATGTTTGGACACTCCTACCCAGTATGGAAAATTGGCCAATTTCTCCCCGAACAATCTTTAAGAACTAACATCACCATGGTGACTCAGGATTTAGAAAAAAGAAAGTAACATAATTACACACACAATACAAAGTTCAGCCAAATGATTTCCTTATGATAATTTGCAACTAGCACTTTACTCAGTCTTCAGAAAGTAGGATTTTAAGTTAATTTCCTTATTCTAAAAGAAAAGGTCTGAACAGGTAAATTGCTATGCAGAAGCACAAAGTTGTCTTTTTAATGCAATCTTCTATAAGAAGTAGTCAAGTTTTTAAAAGCCAAACAATCTAACATTAAACATGATTTCCTCTGTGACAGAATTTATCCATCAGTTTTTCTTTGTTCTTTAAGCATCTGAAATAATCAGAATTACTACACTGGTAATATTCAGAGTAAAATGTGATCCTATCTTATTTAAAGTAGCCTGACTTTCTGTAACTACTATTTGGGAAGTGGCATTTTAAAAAATAATTTTATCCAATGTATGTATCAATTGTATTTGGAAGCAGGCACAAAAATTGTAATAAAACTGACAAAAGTTTACTCTACTATGCAAGTAATATTGCAGCATGATCTGTTTCCTGGGGGTGGGGGGGAGGTAATTCTTTTTTAAAAAATCAAACCTCTATCAATGAAGGGAATTTCAGTACTTAATGGTTGGCAGAGATTCTTATACTTTCATCAGACATCTTTATCAACAAAAATGTCTTAAAGATCTTGTTTTCAACTTATAGTCATTCTTTACATATACTATGTATATATATATATATATATATATATATATATTTCTTTTTAATTGATTGGGGTGATGCAGAAAGCCACAAATGAGAAAAGGACACTAAGTTTTAATAAGGGGAACAAAAGGTCGTTTTCACCAGTATAGATAGTCACATTACAGCACACCAATCATGACAGCATTCTCTTGTCTATTTTTGGTACAGAAGATGGTATCTCTCTACATAACCTTGTAAGGCTTCAGCAACTAAAATGTAAAACAAACAATCCCCCCCCAAAACAAAACAAAAAACCCAGCCTATTAGTTTACATTTTATTTTAAAAATTGTGAAAGACACTGCAAGTTCTAAACTTTTAGTAGTGCTACCCATACACAACCATCTGGTCAAGAACTCAGTAAAGCGCCCCCTTTAGAGGAAGCTTTGCAACAGCAGATTTGTGCAATATGGATGTTTTTTACTACAAGAAAAAATTATACATGGCACATTCTCATTCATATTTTGTAATGTAAAAAGTTATAAACATACCTAATCAAATAAATAATAATAAAAAAAGAATTTGAATGTATTTGTTAAGTATCCTAAAACCACTACATAGAATAATGGCAACTTTCACTCACAGATTATTTACACGGTAATACCCAGTGTGGGTACACTGCTACAAAACCCAAAACAGAAGGAGTAAACTTGAAATGTTTTCCATAGTAAAGATCTAGCAGCATGAGTATCTAATGCTGTTTTATCCCGACTGTTTCTGAAGCGTTCCTTTTTTACTCTGTGTCTTCATCCAGTTCATAATTGTCTTTATCATAAATATCTTTTACTAGAAGAACCCGTACGAGCATATTTTCCAAGGTGTTTCGGTCCAGTGAAGTAGATGTGTACCAGACAGGGCTATCTGTAGAACTAGAGCATTCTGGTTGCAAATAAAAAACATCCATTCTCTGATTAAGATTCTGTGGACTTTGGAGGAAAAAAGAAAAGGTCAATTAAATTAAAAATAAATAAATAAAAATTTCCTAAAACTTTCCTTTCTTCTTTCAAGGATAATTCAGACCCCAGTAATCACACTACATGGTCAGGTCCCCTGCTCACTACTTACATTACTATTCTGTCATTAAAATAGTCTCAAAATTAGATCCTGTGACAAAAGTATTACTTCCCTCCTATAATTTAAACTCTGTATTTCAGGGACTCTGAGACACCATTAATAGATACACAATTATTTATCATTATTTTAATGGTGCCAATTTATAATTTTAAGATACATCAACTTAAACATGCACCTCAGTTCCAGGGACTAGTGAAATGTGCAAAATCTGACTGAGAATTGATGAAATATGGAAACACATACAATAAAAATACTTACTCCACATTACACAATAGAAAAACATTAAAACACCAACAAAATAATACTGAAATAGGAATTTCAACCTAACAAACAGTTACTGCCACGGGAAGATCCTAATACTGCTGCAGTCAAATACAAATACCCTTAAGGCATGTTCATAAATACTAGTATCTTGGAGGCAACATTATTGTTTTTAAAGTCTTGACAGCTATCCTGGGATCTAATTGTGATTTATAAAGCTGTTTACATAAGGAAGTATATTCTGAGTTCATGCTATCCTTCTGAAAATTAAGTGCTTACTTACAAGGTACAACATGAAATAATCCATGGTTCCCAAACATTTAAAAAAATTTGGTTGTAATATGTTAGCTAAGGAAGACAGCAGTGGTATAACTAAAAAGTGTAGTGCCTTGAAAACACTATTGTATCTTTCAGAACTTCTTGGAGAACTATTTTCCCTTAAATGTAAGCACTGAGTTTCCATCTCTGCCTTTAAATATACCTTCTCACCAGGAACTGGCAAACTACAGCTAGCCACTTGTTTGTGTACAGTTTAACACAGCACAGCCATGGGTCATGAGCTCATTACTATGCACCATGTGGCTGCTCTGCAGCTGCAACACAGAACCAAGTAGAAGCAAGAGAGAAACTAGAAAGCCCAAGGTCTACAGAGTTAGCATCAACCAAATTAGACTGCCTTCTTAAAAAGTAATGCTCACCTTTTGGATAAGTAGCATTCAAACATTTTCACAGGACATCTAGAAGGATTGGTTGTGTTTTCAATTTGTTCAAATACTGGCTCATCATCTTCATGTTTTCTTTTTCCAGTAGTAATTTTATCTTAAAAAATAAAAATTAAATAAATCTCCTAAAATTACCTTGAAGAAAGACAGCACTATTCATTCCAAGCATCTCTGTCAGCAAAATGGGACCCCTTCAGGGTCTACACTGGAGCTTTTACTAATGTAAAATTAAAAAAAAAAAAAAGAAGGAACATTATAAGAAGACACAGTTTTTCTGCTTTGTGAAAATGACAGTTGGTAGGTTCTGAACAAGTGACTCAGGTGGGGCTTTAGTAAGGCAAGGTTTGAATATTACCACTAAAGACAATCTCAAACTAAAAATCTGATACACTACCTTCATTATCTGTTCCACATAAGGAAGACACTTGGTATCGGAGACATGCTTTGTTTTCCATGGTTAAAGGATTTTTTTTCCAGTGCCTAAACACAGTGCCAAAGGAAAGTCTTAAGTGTTGTTCCACTGTTTTCAGGCCAAAATACTTAGTGTTAAAGTAGAACAGGGTATTCAAAAGAGCTACTGGAGAGTGTGATCCTAGTTGTTTTATCCTCCAAAGATAGTCTTCTTCAACTCGAGAGAATATCGACCCTTAAATAGAGAGAACTACTTTAAAACAATTATCATGAATAAGAGTTTTCATTTAACCACGAAGAAATAAAGTGAATGTAAAACAAATCTGTATCAATTCTCCATAAACCCCATGTCAAGTAGAATGAATGTCAGAATTATTTATGTAGTTCTTTAACAACACCAAGGCTAGGAAACACTATGGAACCATCATCTCAATGAGGTATTGGATGTTTCCTCTGTCCTTTAGTAGGACTAGCAGACATGATCAGGTAGTTTCCATATATACATACACATTTCCTTCACACATCTGTTAACAGTGATTTAAGAGAAATTTACCTCAGAAGCTCCACTGAAGGGCTTAAGACAAACATTCAATTTGGACTCCAGAGAAAGTAAGTCACATTTATTACAAAGTTTTTTTATGAACACTAGTTATTACCACCACATTCATTTACAGTTCAACAAGAGATGAACAGATCACCTCATGAATAAGTACTCTAAAAAAAAAAAAACCACCTAGTTTAAATTGTTTATTATTTTTAACATACTTTCTGTAGAAATAATCCCAATATGAAGTTAGCAACACTTATTTTTAAAATAGCATTACCATCTGGAAGTATGCTTGGTTGCCAACTTCGGAGTATCTTATTCAATTCTTGCTCAAACATCTGGTATCCAGGATCAATAAATATGTTGTCCTTTCTATTACTCCCACACAAGTACTACCAAGAAAAAAATTCATTGAAGGAAGTTAATTATAAACAGTGAATTTATTACACTCTGTATTAAGAGTGTATTAAAATAAGACATAGCTTTATGTCTAGGAAAACCAAGCATACTAATAAAACATGAGACTGGCTTCATGTAGTCATCTACAAATCCTAAAGAACAACAAATCACCAGTTCAGCTGTTGTTTAAAACACATAAAGCTGAAATATACACTACAGAATCTAGAATACAAGAACTGAATGAAAATTACCAGGTCTATCAGACACAAAGTAAAACATGTGACTCCAATACACACTATATAGAACATGGAGAAAAATATAAACTTTAAGAGTAATTAAATGAATGATTAGATGAAAACTGTTGAGGAGTAAGGATGGGATGAAATGGTACTCTAGCTCCTGGAAGCTTTCTTCTAGCATTCTGACTTTGCTAGGCTAACACTTTTTACCCTTACTGTCTCTATATGCTTGATTCTCCTCCTTTAAGTCAGTACAAGTTTATAAACCTTGTAACTTACTATGATAAACTGTAAATCTTTTTTTTTTTTTGGTGGGTCTGAGATTTGAAAACAGGGCTTTGTGCTTACAAAGCAGGCACTGTACCATGACAAATCTTAAATCTTAACAGTAGGGTTTTTGCAGAAAGATTTAAACACTAAAGTTTGCAAAGTACACCTAAAGGGGATTTAAAAATAATACAATGTAGCCAAAGTGATGGCTCACACCTGTAATCCCAGCTATTCCACAGGAGGATCACGATTCAAGGTCAATCCAGGCATAAAGTTCTTGAGACCCCTATCTCAACTAACAACCTGAAATGGTGGTACATACCTGTCATCACAGCTATGGGGGAGCAAAAACAGGAGGATCAAGGTCTAGGCTGGCTTGGGCATAAGCATGAAAGCCTATACCCAAAATAACGAAGCCAAAAAGGGCTGGTGGAATGGCTCAGGTAATAGAGCACCTGCTTAGCAAGCAGAAGGCCCTGAATTCAAACCCCAGTACTGCCTCTCCCCCCTTACAATTAAATAAAACAATATAAAAATATACGGTAACACCACAAGGAATGGGAGGCGGAAATTGGAAGTACACTATTAGAATATAAAACAATCAGTATTTTTGTAAATAAAGTTTTCTTGGAACAGAGATCAGGGTTCATTTGCTTGTTGTCCAAGCTGCTTTCTTACTGTAATGGCACAGTTCAATGGTTGTAGGCACAACCATGACCTGTAAAGCCTAATACACTCCCAATCTGCTCATTAAAAAAAAAAAGTTTTGTCAGTCCCTGGTATAAACAGTTTTTAATTTTTTAATTAAAAGACAGATATTGTCAAATTGAATTTTAAAAAGAAGCAAGGCTCAATAATAAGCTGTATATAAAAACCAACTTTAAATAAAAAGACACAGTAAAAAGTAAAGTAAAAGCCCTGAGTTCAAACCCTAGTGCTACCCGACACTCCCAAAAAAAGTAAAGTTAAAGTAAAAGAAAGGAAAACAAATTACACTACGTATATGTAATAAATCCTGAGGCTAGGCTGTCATCATCTGAGTTTTGATGTAATGAGACCTTCTACTAGCCAGAAGGACTACTGGCCAACATAATTCCAGTACAAAAACATAGTTACTGACACCAATTGATAAAAGTTTGGCAATCAATGGAGTGACAATGCCAAATCCTTCCGGGCTTTTGAGTTGGCCGCAGGGCAGGATTTCTAAAAGTACTATTTCCTGAAGTATCTGGAAACTCAATGTTATGATGATTGGTCAAAATACAATACCACGATGCAATCTATTTAATGGAACTATACATTTTTGTAAAGTAGGCCCCTCCCTGATTTTTAAGATGCATTTTATATATTTCAATGATACATTATAAAAAACAAAGTGCAAGCCCCAAGTTTGGAACAGCAATTTCTATATTTTACCATACAGCAATGCACATAATAAAGAGCTAAGGAAATGATCCTTAATAGTATTTTCATTTTTGGATTTAGCAACAATTTCTATGCACTTAAAACTTTAGTAATAAGTCCAAAACTAATAAGCACCCAATTCAGTTCTACTAATGCAGTTCCTAAATGAAAAGGTTTCTCCAGGCAGTCTGTGATAAATGAGCTGATGTTAGTAACAGTAGTCTGACAAGCAATGCCATATGATCTTGCTATTTTCCATTAAAGGTAGTCCCAAATTACAAACACCTAATTTACACATGGCTGTCCTATAACCAAAGTCCTTACAACCAATGGGAATGTACAGAAGAAAAGAAAACCTATGCTTTCAGAAGCAAAGGCAGACTACCCACAGCTCACAGGAACTAACCCCAGAGAGAATTCTCTGATAAGACTGGCTTCTCAATAGTAGCAATCTTGATCAGATATTATCTTTAAGGCTGAAAGTACAGCTTAGTGGTAGAGTGCCTTGCCCTGTGTGCATGAGCCCCTCCAGTGCCACAAAACAACCACCACCCCAAACATTTCACAGAAAGTATTGAATTATGAAGTATCTTCTGTCTAAAATATAACTTCTTTGTAAGGGTTGCTGGCCTCTTATTTCACTAAGATTACTTTAAAATATGACAGAACTGAAGTTCCCTAAAAAATTCTGGAATGACTAAACAATAAGAACATAATGTGAGTTAACATGTAGTTTTAGATATTCTAGTAGCTGTATTAAAAGAGTAAGGGAAAGATATATTTAATATGCTATTTAACCTAATGAATCCAAAACATGTTATTTCTTCTTTATTTAAAAATGTAAATTCTGTCGGGCGCTGGTGGCTCACGCCTGTAATCCTAGCTATTCAGGAGGCAGAGATCAGGAGATCATGGTTTAAAGTTGGGCAAATAGTTTGCAAGACCCTATCTCGAAAAAACCCATCACACACACCAAAAAAAGGGCTTGTGGAGTGGCTCAAGGTGTAGGTCCTGAGTTCAAGCCCGAGTACCACAAAAAAAAAAAGTAAGTTCTTTGAAATCTTGTACATGTTTTCTACTTACAACATTTATTTCAAAGGCCCTGTATTTTATGTATTAGGAATGTTTAGCAGGGTAAAGCAGCACAATGGTAAGTAACTACTTAAATAGAAATTAGGATACTGATATTTAATAGTCAGGTTGGATGCAAGGAATCATGGCAGAGTACCTGCCTAGCAAGCTAGAGTTCCTGAATTCAGACCACAGTACTGCCAATGTGGAGGGGGCAGGGAAGGGCAACTAGAAAAATATGGATTTTAGAGAATTTGTTCAGACCATTAATATGTTTGTTTAGCTATATACTGTCACTAATATGACAAATATGTATTATCAAAGAATGTTTTAGAGAGCTAGCTAGAGCAAGAAATCCATTATAAGTAACTATACACATAAATAAAACAATTATAAAATTAAATGTTGGAAATATAATATATATATAAAATTATAACAAATGTTTCACAATTTGAGGGTTACTGAGTATATTTAAGATTCTGCTCATAAGTTTCTGAAATTGATTGTTTTATTAAATACTTGAATAAAGCTTATTTAAAAAACATTAAAAAAAGATGTTTGATTACAAATCAGTACTACTGTACAAAAATTTATATTGCAATAATATTCCATTCTTCAGGCAACTATGTCCAAGGGAGTGGGGAGAAATATGTATCTGTATATTATTAAATGTGATCTTTGAAAATATTGAAGACCTAGGTCAGGGATGCAGCTCAGAGTGTTTGCCTAGCATGCTGAAGGCCCTGGGTTTGATTCTAGCACTGAAAAGACAAGACAAAATGCCTTTTCCTATTCTATCTGAATAACAGCTGAAGACTGAGAATCTTAGCTGAGGAGAACAGTACCTGTGGCATGGCTCTTGCCCTCTGCACCCCACCCACCTCACCCAACCACACTGGACAGTTCCTGGAAAATTGTACCCTTCTGACCACAGTAGTCAAGCTATGGAATAAGCCTAGGTGCCTAACAACAGATGAATGCATAAAAAAAAAAGTTTCATAAAAAAGAATGAAATTATGTCATGTGCAGGAAAATAGATGGAGCTGGAGATCATCTTACTGAATAAGCTAAGCCAAGCTCAGAAAGACAAATAATGGATGTTTTTGCTCATATGCAGAATCTAGATACAATAATACATGATTGTAAAAAACGGGGACTGCTTGTGGGGAACCAACAGAAAGGGGGGAAGAAGAGGGTGGTAAGGGTGAATATGATCAAAGAATGTTATATATATATATGTATGTATAAAAATAGCATAATGAAACTTATTAAAAACTGTTAAAAGACGGCTGGGACTGCTAAGAGTAACACAGATGGTGATTTATCAAAGTGTATAACATGCATGTGTGCAAATATTACAATGAAACCCCTTTGCACAATTTATTTATGCTAATAATAAAATGTTTTTAAAAAGAAGCCAGGAGCTGGTGGCTGAAGCCTGTTAAGCCTAGCTACTCAGGAGGCAGAGACTAGACTGCAGTTCAAAGCCAGCCCAGGCAAACAGGTGGCAAGATCCTTATCTCAAAATAGGATCAGAAAAAATGGCTAGTGGAGTGGCTCAAGTGGCAGAGTGCCTGCCTAGCAAGTATGAGGCCCTGAGTTCAAATCCCAGTACTAAAAATAAAAAAGCAAAGAAGGAAAAAAGCTATGCTCTATTTTCTCTGCCTTCAAGGGATGCCATTGTTCTTCCTCCATCCTTTCTGTCTAGTAAATTTCTACATGTTCTCCAACTCTTAATGTAAGGACCAGGTGTTGTGGTGCACTCCTGTAATTCCAGCTGTGAAGAAGGTAGAGATAGGAGGATGATGGTCCAAGGCCTGCCATGGGCAAAAGCATGAGACCCTACCTGAAAAACAAACTAAAGCAGTGAGGGCTAGAAGCGTGGTTTGAACATACAGTGCTTGTCGAGCAAGCACGAGGCCCTGGTTTTAATCCCCAGTATTGCTCCTCACCCCCAAGCCTCAATTTAAAATGTCTTCTGCACTGTTAGATTTTTTTCAAATTACACACTTACACAGAATTAACTTGTCCTGATTCTGTGCTTTTAATAGTAAGTACAGCACTGTTAAACATTGCTTATGTATTCTAAATCCTTGACCAGAGGACTTTTTTTTTCTTTTTTGGAAACAGGGTCTTACTATGAAGCCCAAGCTGGCCTTCAACACACCATCCTCTTGCCTTAGTCACCTCAGTGTTGGATTATAGACATATACCATCATACCTGGCTTACAGTGGCATTTAAGTCAAACTGCTAACCACACTCAAAATTTATTAACTATGTCATTTGGACAAGCTACTACTTAGCTTTACTTCCTCACCACAAAATAATAATAGGCTGTTAGGAGGATTAAATGACATGTCCAACACTTAGCACATCACATAAAAAACAGTAAGCAATCAATAAATAGAAGCCTTCAACATGCTTATCTCAATCTCCAAAGCCTACTCCATTGTCCAGTGAACAACTGGCACTTAACTAATGTTTGTAGAATTAACCTATAAAGGAAGGATTACAAACACTCAAGAATCTACCTCAGCTGGTACCAGTGGCTCACGCAGGTAATCCTAACTGCTTAAGAGGCAGAGATGAGGAGGGTCGAGTTTCCAAGCCTGTCCCGGGCAAATAGTTCACAAGACCCTATCTTGAAAAAAACCTTCATGGAAAAGGGTTGGTGGACTGTAGGCCTCGAGTTTATACCCAGTGAGGGGGGAGGGGGAGGGGGTAAGTCTTAAGGACCCATGAATAAAGAAAGTTAAATATTATATGTATTTTAATATTTGGAAGCTATTCATTTATATGGAACTCATTAACAAACCATGTAAGTTAATTTCTTAAATTTATTAAACAGAGTTTACTCTTCTTTGAAAAGACCTGAGGGTATGGCTCAAGTGGTAGGGCACCATCTAGCAAGTGGGAGGCCAAGTTCAAACTCCATTAACAACTCCCAAAGAAACAAAAAAAAAAAAAAGAAAGAAAGAAAAACAAAAATCAACAAGAGTCCCACAATCCAACCTATAAAAGACTTGTAAAAAAATGTTTCCAAATGAAAATCTTGGAAAGAAGTCTGAGACATCAACAAAGGGTTACCATCTAGAATAAACTAACAACCTCACAAGATGAAAAGGACAAACAATCCAATGGACAATGAGACAATTCATAGAAAAGCAAAGTCTTAACACAAGGATCTTCAACTTTTTTCGGAAAGCAAAAAAATAAAAAACCATGTATTTTTCTTATCAAAACTTTTTGTTTTGCTTTTTGTTTTTTCTTTTATCTTTCTTATGATTCAGTAATAACCTTTTTTTAGGACTCTTAACTCAGAAATAAAAGCATTAGGTCTTTAAAATAATTAAATATTTGGAGGGGAAGATGAAAATTTCTATATTTCTTCCCATGTTCAATAAAAAACACAGAAGCAAACACATGAGGCTACCAGTGATGTGGCAGGGGGGACCAAAATGGGAAAAGGCATCCACAGTTCCAGTTACAATCAATTTGGTGTGAGGGACATTTATTTAAATATGTAAAATAGTGCATGAAAGAATGATCATGTAACATTAATGATGATTATCGTTTCTGGAATTTCAAGTAACTTTCTTCCTCTGACAGCTTTAGATTATTTGAGTGTTGGACAATAAACATCATTCCTTGCACAAAATCAGGGGGAAAAGAAAGTATTTTGTCTATGAAGGAGAAAAAAAAAATCTGTGTTCCCAATTCATAGTTTCAGTTAAGGATTCATAATTATGTTTAACTTCTCAGTGTATGAAAGAAATAGCTACTTACTCCAGTGTATATTGATAAGGCAGACCTTACAACTAAAAACACTGGTTCTTCTACAGCTGTATCTAAGAAAATCATACTCGTTCAACATTATCTTTCTTCTACTGTCAAATATGGCAAACCCAATAAATGCAATAGACAGGAAACGTTCAACACTCTCTATATAAAAAAAGCTTCTATTTCTGTACATGTCCTTGAAGTAACATTAAACAGCACTGATTTCTGAAGTACATTTTAGGTATCTTATCTTTACACCATGCTTTGGGTATTTTTTAAGCTGCTTATATAGCCTTGCAAACAAATCAAGTTTGTGCAAATTGTGCCCAAAGAGAACAAACAGTATGCCATTTTTTTAAATTGTGGTATATAAAATGTAAAATTTACCATCTTAGCTATTTGTAGGTATACAATTCAGCAGTATGTCAATTTTGGGAGGAAGCATTTATGAGTACACAAATAACCTACTGAGTAAAGGAAGGAAATTCTGATATGCTACAACATGGATGAAACTTGAGGACATTATGGTAAGTGAAGTAAGCCAGGCACAAAAGGACAAATACTCTGTGATTCCACTTAGACCAGGTGCCTAGAGTGGTCACATTCATAGAGACAGAAGGTAGAACAGTGGTTTCAAGGGGCTAGTGGAGAAGGAAAGAGGGAAGTGTTCAAAGGGTACAAAATTAAAAAACATTCTAGAGATGGATGGTGAACATGGCACAGCAATGTGAATGTACTTAATTCCACTGATCTATACATTTAGGATGGTTAAAATAGTAAATGTTGAATAGTAACAACTGGTGGGGGAAAAAACCTTCCAAATCAATTGTTCTTAAATTCTTCTTCTTTAAGAATAATTCATTATCAACCAGGGTTGGTGGTCCATGCCTATAATCTCAGCACACAGGAGGTTGAGGTAAGTGGACCGTGAGTAGGAGGACAGTTTGGCTACAAAGAGACCCTGTACCAAACCCACCCCTACACACCAAAAGAGAATTCAAAAATCAATGATTATACAACCCATTTAGCTCTCAAACCTGTATAGAAGCTGCAGTCCTAATATTTAAGTAACCCACTCAATAAAAAAAATCCAGCCACGAGGATCGAGGTTCAAGGCAAGACCAGGCAAAAAGTTCATGAGCTGTTCTCAAGTAAAAAGGTGGGTATGGTGGCATACATCTGACACCCCACCTACAGCATGCAGCATAAACAGCAGGACCATAGTCCAAAGAATAAGTAGCTATACTACTAAGAAGTTGGAAACACACCAGAAGCATATAGTGAAACAGACATTCTCTACACGGACAGATTTAAGGTATTTTCTGTGTATATGTAGACCAGCACGGAGCTGTAATCAGACGTGGCTACACATCATGCCCCATAACATGAATTCATTTACGTGCAACTGGTAAGGAAGAAATGATGCCATACCAATTAGCATCAATATATGGCAGCAAATACAATTTGTTAGCCCTGTCAGAAAGGATGCATGAGTTTTGAAATCTATAGATACCTTATTTCTCCTATAATTCATTTTGATTTTGGTACACAGTTCTGGAGAACTTGAAGATTTTAGGTATATATGTACTGTGTTATAAGAGAAACACAAAGTAGCTAGGAAAATCCTTTATAATAGGATTTCCAAACAGATTAAATTCATGTCTTTCTTGGTAAAACAACAGAAGTTCCAGAAAACTATCCTTAATATTCCAAATGTACATTTTTCTCTTCTAGGACTACCCCAACAACTTTTCTAACTAATACTGTTTTTGAAGGCAGCCAGCAAATTACCAACCTCCTGTATTCCGAGGCAAAGATAATAGATGCTGTCAGGTGCGTAATTCTCTCCATTTGGTCTTCGGATCTCATTGACAAAATGGGCTAACCCATAGTTAAGCTCAGCTGTGGTATGGGAGAGTAGGTCTTCTTTTAACTTTACTGATTTGACTAAAAAGAAATAAAATAACCAGTAATTGTTATTAGGCATTGATTAAGAAACTTTCTAAAATTGACTTTAAAATAAAATGCAGTTGGAATTGTTTTAAGCTACACTTTATTTTAAAAATTAAGGTACTCAATAACAGAAATCCTCATTTTAAATAAAGCATAGAAGAAACAAAATCAAACACTTACGAGATTTTAGCTCATCTAACACCAGAAGATCTTCATCAAGTTGCCTAGTTTTGACCCAGTGTTTCCAGGCGTTAACACCATAGGTGTACTTGAAAGGAAAGCTGCATTCTGAATTGTCAGAACTATCATCATGAGACTGGTATCCTGATACAGCTTTTCTCTTGGCTCCCTATTAGTAAAACATAATTGTAAATTCTTTTCTTAAGCTTAAATTATTTCATGACTTTATGTAAGTCATCTCTCAACAAAGGCAAAGTAAAAAGAAATATTTGTTTGCTTTAGAATTAGTTGGTGTTCCTCAACCTGACAATAGTTTTCTTACAACATTTCTTGAAATACAACTCCAAGAATGTGATGTTTCTACACAAGTCACATTGTATGATAACATCAGGGTAAATTTACAGCTGAGAACAACGAAGATAATAAGCTAGTCATCTAAATATTATTTTAAAAAAAAACTGAAGGTTTCAATTCAACTCTACCATATAGGGAATGATCATTCAATTATTTACTTACTTTCATTTTTGTGATGCTTGAGATTGAACCCTTGCATCTGCTAAGCAAGCACTGTACCACTGATTGACTTCTCCAGAACCCACTCCCCCTTCTCAGTTTTTTGTTTTGTTTTGTTTTGTTCTTGAGACAGTGTCTCACTATTTATCCCAGTCTGGCCTGGAATTCATTATGTATCCCAGCTAATCTCAAACTCAAGATCCTCCTGCCTTAGCCTCCTGAGGGCTGGGATTATATGCATGTACCACATCTGGCTTTCTTTTAAATTTCTGGGAGCACTGCTTACAGTGCCAAAGTTTTTAATTTTGGTATAGTCCAATTTATTTGCTTCTTTCCTTTTCTTCTTTGTGTTTGGGTGTTCTATTAAAGAAAGTATGCCTGCCCCAAAGTCATGAAGACTTAGGCCTGTTTTCTTCTAAGAGTTTATATTTTTAGCTCTTACATTTATTTAGATTAAAAATTGTGTATGGTGTCAAATAAGAGTTCACCTTCATTCTACTGCAAGTACTCCTTTTTCAGTTGTCTTTCTTTTTTGGGCAAATTTGTGAAAGTCATCTTTCTTATGGTGTCTTTTGATCTTGCCTTATGTTGGAAATCAAAAACAGAAAGTTGTTGACAGAATATTAAAACAATTACACCTATTAATACAATTAGACTTGGTATACCTGAATAATCTAACTGTCCATATGTCTTTCTCTGTTTGGTATGCTTAAGAGACCAGATATAATAAACTGTGTACCTCTTTCTTGTTGACCAATCTCATAAAAAATAATGATGGGGAAAAAAAGTTACTCCCTAGAAAACAGTGTCCATTCTTTGTTGTTATTTTTTAAGACACAAACTTAGTAGACCAAGCAGGCCTTGCAATCTTCCTACCTCAGTCTCCCAAGTGCTGAGTTACAGGTATACGCCACCATACCCAGCTCATAAAATAGTCTGCAAATTCTTGTCACAGTTAATTTATTGTCTTTAGCAACTATTTTCTACTTTGATCTTGTATCAAGATAAATTTTCAAAGAAAAACTGAGTGGCAATAATATTCACTTTTCTTCTATGATGTAACAACTAACCTTTAGTTTTATTACTTTGAAACAAATTAATTCGTAGTCTTTTCCAGCCTACAAAACTTAACTATCTTCCCATATTCTCAGACACAGCAAATCATTACCATATCTTTCTATGTCTGTTGAAAGGCTGTTATAGGGTATTAAGTGAATACAAGAGCATTACTAAATTTTTATACCTTTTTTTTAGATCGAGGTCTGGGCTGTTCCTCATATTCTTCTCCAAAAACAGGTGGCAATAAAAATTCATTTTCCATATCAAGCTCCTCAGCAGCTGACAATTAAATCAGGAAAAACTTTCATGTCAAATGTACTAGCACAGCTTATAGTACATAAAAACAGCCAACAAAAAACCATACACATAAGCATTTATACATAGGGAGAACCTGAACTGGACTGGGGAGTGGGTGATAGAATTGTTGTAGAAATACATAATACCAGAAAAACTATTACAACCAAAAATTCAGTTATAAGATCTAAAGAGTCACAGTACAAATCTACTAAACCATTTTTCAAAAACAATGTTTTACATTCTACTCAGTATGCTCATCAGCGAGTCACAAGTGAAGAAAATAATGAAAAATGAAACACATTTCTTTTAAAAAACATCTGAGAATATTTTTCCCTTTCAAAAGTAAATTTAAAAGGTCATAAGAAAATGCAATCAGGCTCAAGTGGTAGAGTGACTATATAGCAAGCATGAGGTCCTGAGTTAAACCCCAGTACAGTCAAATAAAACAAATAAAATAAATAAAAATGAAAAATGGTATCAATAACTTAAAAATTTTTTAAAAACATTTATTTTATTCCTTTCTCTATTTTCAAAACTTTCTGTAATGAATTACTTTCAGAAAGTTTTTTTTTTTAAATTCAAAGAAATTCTTTCTGTGTCCATAAAATTCAATCCTATGCCTTATTTCAGAAGACAATTGTTTTGCTTGAATTTTAAAAAAGAAAGAACAGGGCTGGCGCACAGAGCTAAGTGCTAAAGCACATCCCTAGCATCTGTCCATCTATCCACCTCCCCCACACTACAGTCCATGACAAACAGTAAATGGTCAGTGATCATAAGTACAGTTATGACTCCATAACTTGATTTAAAAATCATAAAGGTTTTTGAGTACCTCTGGGAAAATCTATTTCAATATCCAAATCTGGTTCATATGGTACATCGGGCATGTTAGACTGTGTTTCGTCAGAGTTCTTCATGAGAGCTGAATCAATTATATCAGTTTCAATAATCACACCTGTAATCAATTCATAATTTCATTAGAAATCAAAATAGAAAAACTTCAACAACACATTTTTAATCTGCCAAAAGGAGTTACAAGTATAATAATTATAAATGCAATAAAAGAATCCTTATGTCACAAAAGGAAAAGGCATGCAGCTATCTTAATATATAAACTGCTCTAAACTTCATAATTAGATAATCCCAAATACATGAAAACTTTTAATCCTATGATATGTGCTTTGGTTGTAAAATAATTCCATTATGTAGAATATTTCTTCTTATTATCATTTTTTATTTGGTGGTACTAGAGGGGATTGGACTCAAGAGTTCTGATGCATGCTGGGCAGGTGCTTTACCATTTAGGCATGCCCCCCTAGTCTAGGTTGGCCTCCTAAACACAATCCTCTTGCTTTAGTTTTCAGAGTACTAGGATTACATGAGTACCATTCATTTAAAAAACAAAAAAACCCCTACTGGTCACAAACCACTAAATTCATTTCATAATCCCTTTAGAGTGTTTTAAAAAACTACTACAGGGCTAGAGATGTGGCTCACATGGTAGAGTATGTGCCTAGCAAGTATGAGGCCCTGAGTTCAAACCCTAGTACCCTCCCCCAAAAACAAAACCTACAACAATTATGAAATACATAGAAAACTACATGTTTCTATTGTCCTCTAGGGTAAAGGGAATTGGGCAGCTCATTGGAGATTCTGGGTGTCACTAGAAGGCTAAGGGTAGGAATAAATATTCTAAGAAACTTACAACCATACACAACACACTCATTTAGAGTCATACTACACCATGTAGCAAGCAGTGTTCTAATCATAGTGAAGATAAATTCCAGCTTAGATAATGCATACTATTTTATTAGTATAAGAAATAATATGAATTGGAGACATTATTACAAAATAAGAATTTAAATCATTTCTAGTTTTGTGTCTGTGTAACTCTATTAACAAAAATAATTTTGAGTCAATTCTGGGAATCAAATCCCACTACAATTAAATAGCAAGCACAACAAACCAGGCATGGTAGTGTGTACCTGTAGTCCCAGCTACTCAAGAGCTTAAGGCCGAAGGATCACTTTAGCCCAAGAGTTCAAGACCAGCCTGGACAACACAGCAAGACCCCATCACAAAACAAAATAAACAACAACAAAAAAACCAACAACAACAAAAAAAATCTACTGCCTTGATAATCAGGCACAGTGTGGCATTAGAGGGAAATTGGCTAAATACAGTATGGATCTCTTAATATAAAATACTTGTTATAATTATTCCCCCATTCCAATATCAAGTCAAACTACAACAATAGGCTCTAAAAGAAAGTAGTACTATCACAATACTTATTTTCAAACATACACACACACACACCCTACTATACTTATTGACCAAATTGTGACATAGTGTAGCTCACTGTTGATGTTGGAAGCCTCTGTTTTCCCCTCATCTTCAGCTATCATATCTGTCATTGTAAGCAACTCTGTATCAAGAGGATCTGTAGAAACTTTGTTTTTCAGCTCCTCAATTGACGCAGGAATCTTTTCACTACTGTCCAATGGAGCAGGCAGAAAAACAGGAACGGGCACCTAATTAACCAAATCATTTACTGTTAGGCTTATTAAACATTAAAAGGTATTTCCCCAAGTTAAAAATTATTGATATATGATCAACTTTATACCATATTGAATAAAAGTTTTGAAAAGAACATATATCAAAATTAATCATGACAAGGAAAGGCTGAAATACACACAACTACTTTCCGAAATAAAAGTTAAGGGAAAATAAGTTTTGAGGTGTTTCTGTTTCCAAATGACTGTAAGAAGAGCCAAGCTCAGGCAGTGCTGTTAAGTAATTATTCATACACGTGATTTTGGGTGGAATGCAATGCTAATTCATATGAAATTCGATTCTATGCTTCGGTTCTAAATCTTGTGACTTCACAAATACTTATTTTAAAAATGAAACCAAATATAAAACACAATATGCACAGGGAAGAGGCAGATATCTGCTAAAATTCACTGTCAAGGGGGAACAGATAGCAGATTAAGCTGATCAACCCAATCTATCTGTGGAGGATACGTTAAAATGGCTTCAGCAGCTTCGCTGAGCTAGCAATTGCACCAGTTCCCCACCTGAGTCTGATAGAGATCAAAACGAAGAGAGTAAAGTCCAACTTACAGGAACAGGAACTGTAGTAGGAACAGGAATATTCTGGCTGTACATGTGCATAGGTACTGGAATATACACAGGCACAGGGATAGGCACTGGAACATACTCTGTTTTCCAATTTTCATCTAAAAACACAATACGTGTGTGTAAGGCACAATGTTAACTAGCATATATATAGCTGTTAAATGTTGAAGTAATTTGACATCAAAGAAAAATTTACCTCAGTACTCATTTAACAGAAATTCCTAGTTCTTAAGATTTGATCATTTAAAAACAGAAAGCAGCTGCTGTTCTTAAGAGAATACAATTTAGGCTTTTTTTTTTTTTTAAACAACATCCTTTAAAGAGAGTTCCAGACACCTCAGCCAACTGCCCTTCCTCCCAAAGGCTTAATCAAACAAATAGAATCCCGCTAACACTGAGCCAGGTATGGTGTCACGTGCTTGTAATTCCAGCACTCAGGAGGCTGAGGCAGGAGAATCATAAATTCTGTGAGCTCCACAGTAAGTTCAAGGCAAGCCTTAGCTATATGGCAAGACACTGTTTAAAACAACACAAAACATTGTAAATGTGATGAAAACACGTATTTTAATTATTTCAGCTGACAGGTAGGAAACAGAACCATTATTATTACAGACCATAAAGAGATGATTTTCTCAATGAGAACATCACTTTAGTAGTTCTTAGCCCCAAGGTAATTTCTGATTATAGTGTTTTTTCACTTTGGATATAATGTATATTCTAAGCCTTTATCAAAGATTGTTTGATCGTAAGTGATTTTAAATGATATGCTGTATTTCAAGGCAGTATCCAAAGTTAGATAAGTAAAAATCAAAACAAAATAACTCAACAAATCTATTCTGTAGCCTGTCCACTCAAGAAAAGCATGTATTTTATTCAGAGAGGCATAAAAGTCACAATTCCCTAAGTTACCTGTCTGACAAGATTTGGACTGCATGTGAGGTTTGCAATAAGTAGCTTTTGTCATTGTTAAAGGTTTGCAAAGAACTGCTTTATTCTTCATCTCTTTGTTTGGTGTTGGAGAAGGGGGTGGTGCTGAGCCCTACAAAGAAGCAAAGAAAACATTTTATTTTTTTTTATCTCTAATTTTCATTACTTCCTGGTACAAATGATTATCTTGTTTCTAAGTCCTAAGGAGGAACACACAAAAAGAGGAGTGTAACCAGATTAAGCTATCATTACGATGTTCACACAGTCTTAATCTGGGAGGATCAGTGTGAATCCACTAACAACTGGCAGGAATTACTCATTCCATAAATTTATGCCATCTTCAAAGAATTCCATAAAGCAAACACGTTTTTAGAAAAACATGAAGACAATTCTCTTTTAAGCACCAATGAAAGTTTTAAAGTTAAACTATGAGCAAGCCCCCGGCTTCCAGGCTCCGCTGCAATACCTTAGCCGTAGCCTTTCCTTTTCTCTCTAATAAATCCTACTTTATAAAAAAAGTTAAACTTTTTTACTTGTTGACATGTTTTCCCAAAACAGAATTCTATTCTAATATCACCTTCCTTCACACTGGCAAAGCCTTCTCCATTCATTTGCTGTGCAATATACATTATATATTTTTAACACTGCTATTTTTATAAGACATTCAAAGCCTTTATATTTTTTCAGTCTGATGTAAAAAGTAATCCATAGTCCTTAATTGAAGGGCTAGATGAGAGACACGGTATTTGGTGCATGAAGAGAACTGATGCACTGGGGTAGACATTTTTGAGTTTACAGAAATGAACTAAGGTACCCATCAACAATAAAACTTTGGAGAGCAAAGTTTTTACCTTGGAAAGTGCTCAACTTCTAGTATGAAGCAGTTGCAGAACCAACCCCACAATGTTTCAGATACCATCCATCTTTTTCACCCCATCCTAATGAAATGATATACAGCTCAGGTTCTTCCTCTAAGTATTCCTAGATTTTGAGCGCGATACAAGCATTAGGATTTGCACTTAGCAATTAGAAATTGCTCTTAATAAAGGAAATGCAAATTAAAACCACACTAAGATTCCACCTCACCCCTGTTAGAATAGCCATCATCAGCAACACCACCAACAACAGGTGTTGGCGAGGATGCGGGGAAAAAGGAACCCTCTTACACTGTTGGTGGGAATGTAGACTAGTACAACCACTCTGGAAAAAAATTTGGAGGCTACTTAAAAAGCTGGACATCGATCTACCATTTGATCCAGCAATACCACTCTTGGGGATATACCCAAAAGACTGTTACTCCAGAGGCACCTGCACACCCATGTTTATTGCGGCACTATTCACAATAGCCAAGTTATGGAAACAGCCAAGATGCCCCAGCACTGACGAATGGATTAAGAAAATGTGGTATCTATACACAATGGAATTTTATGCAGCCATGAAGAAGAACGAAATGTTATCATTCGCTGGTAAATGGATGGAATTGGAGAACATCATTCTGAGTGAGGTTAGCCTGGCTCAAAAGACCAAAAATCGTATGTTCTCCCTCATATGTGGACATTAGATCAAGGGCAAACACAACAAGGGGATTGGACTATGAGCACATGATAAAAGCGAGAGCACACAAGGGAGGGGTGAGGATAGGTAAGACACCTAAAAAACTAGCTAGCATTTGTTGCCCTTAATGCAGAGAAACTAAAGCAGATACCTTAAAGCAACTGAGGCCAATAGGAAAAGGGGACCAGGAACTAGAGAAAAGGTTAGATCAAAAAGAATTAACCTAGAAGGTAACACCCACGCACAGGAAATCAATGTGAGTCAATGCCCTGTATAGCTATCCTTATCTCAACCAGCAAAAACCCTTGTTCCTTCCTATTATTGCTTATACTCTCTCTACAACAAAATTAGAGATAAGGGCAAAATAGTTTCTGCTGGGTATTGAGGGGGGAGGGGAGGGGGTGGAGTGGGTGGTAAGGGAGGGGGTGGGGGCAGGGGGGAGAAATGAACCAAGCCTTGTATGCACATATGAATAATAAAAGAAAAATGAAAAAAAAAAAAAAAAAAGAATTAACCTAGAAGGTAACACCCACGCACAGGAAATCAATGTGAGTCAATGCCCTGTATAGCTATCCTTATCTCAACCAGCAAAAACCCTTGTTCCTTCCTATTATTGCTTATACTCTCTCTACAACAAAATTAGAAATAAGGGCAAAATAGTTTCTGCTGTGTATTGAGGGGTGGGGAGAGGGAGGGGGCGGAGTGGGTGGTAAGGGAGGGGGTGGGGGCAGGGGGGAGAAATGAACCAAGCCTTGTATGCACATATGAATAATAAAAGAAAAATGAAAAAAAAAAAAAAAAAAAAAAAGAAATTGCTCTTAGCAATGGAAGGACTGTACAAACTGAATGATTTAGAGCCAGAGACTCTGAAAACCATTTGCAGGTTTGTTTTCCAATACCTTTGCAAAAAGCAAGCCAATCTCGGCAGCATCGAGAATTCTACCACTGAACCACCAATGCCTGCATTGTTCCCCATAACCCTTTTCCTGTATACTACTTAGCAGGTCTTTCTTCTACAGTGCCCTCATCTACAGAACCCACTTCACCTTCCAGTTTAACATTTTTACCATGAAAAACATGCAAACCAGTCAGCACTAACTGAGAAGGGTTTAACATTTTCCTAATCCTGGTTAACACTTGTGAGCTAAAAGCCTTACAAAAATAGTGTAAATGGGTCATAATCTCATGAGCCCACAAATTTAGTTATAATAGACATTATGGTAGCTCTTAGAGTGGCCTTGTGTACTGACTGGCAAATTTCCTCTTCCTTTCTATTTACATTATTGATTAATATTAAACACACCAACAGCACTCTAACTCACATCTGAATGGTAATTAACTAACATACATTAGCTTTCTTGTACTCAGAGACACTAGACAGCACTTTAAAACCCACACTTGTGGACCCCTGTGAACAGCAAAAATCATCAATAAAAAGTCCAAAAATGCACAAAATGAAGCAAAACATGACACAAGTTCACAGCATGATGGCTGAAACTTGAAGGTACAGCATCACCTTGATCTACCTCAACTTAGAAGATGAATATCAGGTGATCACCAAAGTGCTATACATATTGGTTGAGGATTACAAATAAATTTTGATAAGTAGATAAATTCAAATGCAGAATCCATGAATAATAAAGATCAACTGTACTAAAAAATTTTTCTGTCTGTGAAATTTTCTAGGGGTGGTACTGTAGATCAAACTCAGGGCCTTACATGTGCTAGACCCCCTGTCACTGAGCTATCTCCCCAGTCCTTTTTATGATTTTTTTTTTAAAGTCTGGAAGGGTATGTATTTAAAAGCTATTTATAAAACTGTATGGCTCAGGGGCTAGGACATAGCTCAAGTTGTGGAGTCCCTGCCTAGCAAGCACAAGGTCTTGAGTTGAAACCCCAGTACAGTTGAAAAAAGAAAGTATATAGATTATTAAAAATAATATATATGGCCAACATGGCTACACTAGGATGAACATCAGATTAACCAGAATTTAAACTACATACTAATCAGAGACAGAATCCTGAACAAGGAGTTAAGAAACTTGGTTCTAAGGCTAGACCTTGGAAAAGTTTACAGCCTATGCTTCAATCATACAATGAGAAGCAAAACGTAGCAAACAGTATTTCCTATATGCCAAGTTTAAGTTCAGTCTGACCTGGAAAATACTCTGATATTCCCACTTAAGAATAGGAAAATTCCAAATCACAGATGGCCTAGAATTGCTTAATGTTGTACCTCTTATCATTCTCCAAATATTATATAGATTAATGAGCTATGCCAGTTAGTAAAAACCTTGATCCCAATCTTTTGGTCCTAGAATTCTTTTTTTTACTTTTCAACTAATTGACAGGTAGGAGTTATGGCTATTTATGCTGAATACTGAAAGATCCCAAGTAATGAAAATAATAATGACAAAAGCCACCATATGATGAGTACATGCTATGTGCCAGGAATTAAAGTAAAGCACCAAATGTTATTTCATTCTTCTAACACCACAGAGGGAGGGTTTTTTGGGCTTTTTTTATTACTCCAATTTTATAGATGATGAAACTAAGACTCAGAAGTACATAATCTAGTAAGGATCACAGAGCTAATGTAAATAGATTCATCTGATGTCAAAGTCTATGTTAATAACTACCATACATACTGCCTCTATGTGATCTGGAACAGAACAGCTACCATGGGGCTGGTACTTAGCATGTGACAAACCTGAGGTGATAATCATTGATTTTACAAATAAGGAAACTCAAAGAATAGTGAAATAACTTGTTCAAAATAATCCAGACAAGCGCTCACCTTTTTAATTATATGGATAGAGAGTTAAAAAATTCTAAAAGGTTACAAAAAGATGATGGGAGATGACTTTATAAGACAAAGGCAATAATGGCCACAATGGTACCTAACTTTCCCTCCCTCCTAATAATGTTCCCTCCATCATTCTGACACATGATGTTGCTTTTATTTAATACTGTACTGAGAGAAGGAATCTCTTGCAGCCTTAGTCAAAACCTTGTACCTTTGAAACAGGTTGGGGAGCTGCCTTACTGACTGCACAAAGATAACAAAATAAAGAGTAATCATCTTTATACTCTTCAGGGTGGATGAAAAGTGCCTGGTAGTCTGGTAATTCAGCCGAATGCTTTAGGTAATCTGAATTACCTGATTTTAAAATGTTATTCACATCAGAGGAGTAGATAGGGAAAAGCAAAACAAAACAAAACAAAACAAAACAGCACTTTCAACTTTTCTAGGATCCTGTCCAATTATCAACATCAAAAACAAACACTGTACAGAATGTATGTAAAAATGCTCATCTTTCAGATATAGTTGTCCTTCTGAATCTTTTTTTTTTTTTGGGGGTGGGGGGTGGTTGGAGGGGATGGAGACTGATTGACTTCTCAGACTTTCCCGGAGATACCAAGCTACATAGATGCTCAAATCCCTTAGTAGTCTAGAACCCAAGCACATATAAATACTTAAGCATATATACAAATCATTTCTAGATGACTTATAATACCTAATATAATGTAAATGCTATGGAAATGGTTATTTCCATAGGGTCTATACATTTTCAGTACAGACACAACCATCACAACCTAACCATGACAACAAAACTATAAAGTACAAGACAGCAGGCAATAATGTTCAAACAAGGATTACTGGAGAGATCTGCATTCCGTTCTATGAATGGGCAGGAGGCTGTCACAGAGCATGCCTACAATCTCACACTATTTGTGTAGATTCAGCACAGTGTTTGGTATGTGGAAACTTCAAGTTTTGATTTTTGAAACTTCTGGAA